CCCCAAAACCCCAAAACCCCAAAACCCCAAAAGGCTTAATTACAAATTTAGGGAATTTAATGAAATCAGAGTTGCTGTGTGCTAATTTAAAACAATAATATAAATCTTTCAGAAGAAATATGTTTAAAAATAAATTATTGAAATACCATAGGAAGAGATTTTATATTTAAATGTTATCCCAAAATAATGTTTCAAAGACTACTTCAAATACCTTTCAATAATTGCAAATGCTCATGCTACTAGTTCTGATCTCCTAGTTTTTCTGAGGCTCGAATGCAGTCTACTGTGAAGTCAATAAATATTACAATATCCAAGAAAATAACTGTCTAGGTAAGAAATATTGAGATTAACAATTTGTCAATACAGATTGCGATTCTAAATGTGATTCATGGTGTGTTGGTCCAACCGATAATGATTGTGTAACTTGCTCGGTAACAGGATTAATGGGCTAGAAACACCTCTACAGAGACATAGACTCTTGGGAGTGCATTGAATCTTGCCCTGAACATACTATTCCTATGTCAATTGAAACCACTCAGTTTAGTAGCAAAGCATTCAATTATTGTAGAAGTAAGACTAAATTTGATTTAATCTACTAGTACCTGAATTTTACGTGGATTCCGAATATAATCTCAGTAATATTGAGCTTGGCACAAAGTAGCATCCATATAAGTCTATCGATGATGCTTTTAGAGAAATTTAGATCTATTAAAAACAAGTGGCTTTATACACCGACATTGTTTTCAAAATATATTTGAGATAAGGATAAAGCTTCACAATTTATCCTAATACTTTGCCTTTGATTATATAAAACTCCCAGATGATTATTTAGTAAGTATTCAGAATTTCAATATTTGATTCTTGGCTAACTTTCTTATTATTAGGCCATACTACGATTCAGATGTAGAGAAATAAAGTAATGATAAAGCTACATAGATTCAAGTATCCTTTGATAATTATACAAGATCTCTAAGCAGCTTTAATCCTACAATATAAACTAATGATTGGCAGATAAATCCGAAAAAGCTATTACAAATACGTTTGTAGTTGACAATTTAAAAATATTATAATAACACTTCGATTTTGCTAATAAATAGCAGTCTAGCGCTCATAAATATATCCTTCTCAGAACTAAACCACACTAAATCATTATATAAGCACTCGTTATTAAAAAGCATAGAAAATTAAGAGGTAATCTAATGGCTTAATATAACAGGCAGCCAATTTCAAAAAATATAAACAATAATAGATATTGTAGGAAGAATAAACCTGGCTATTTAAGAATCATCATTCAGCATTACTGAAATAGAGACCATTATAAATCAAACATCTAGCCAGGGGAAAAATTAAAGTTTGATTAGCAGCATGAAATAATAAAGCGTAGTAATATTCATGAATAACAACACCTTCAAAGGAAGTTAATAAATAAGTAAAAAGCATTTAATTAACATAAATAGTATTCAAAATGTAACTATGACTGAGAACATGTTCCAAGATATCATTTATACAAATTATTAAGAGAAAAATTCAATGATTTACATTTAATCTCCATTCTTTAACATGACAAATAATGTCCTAATCAATATTACTATAACAGGAACTATGCTTTAAATTTCCAATGCTGATCTTATTAACATTCGAGGCTTAAATATTATAGATAGTAAAAGTTGTAAAGGAACTATAGTAAATATTTCTGAATCTAGCATTATAACTCTCTCCTAGCTAAATGCTAGCAATGTTAACCTAAATTAATCATCATTAATAGTTGCTAAAAGTGCTGAAAATATTTTATTAGAAGATGTTAATTTATTGCATTTAAGATCAAATGGGCATCATAACTTAATTAGCTTATCAAATACTTAGATATTTCTAGCACATAATATTTAGATTAGAGATACCAAATCTATGGATGTTCAACCATTTTTTCTTGGGATTGACTTATAAGTTACTTTAGAATAGCTTTTGGATAATAAAAAATATTAGGTTATTTTAGACAATCTTCACTTTAGTGAATCTGATATTGCTTTGATTGATTTTCAAAATAGAGATAGATTTTATGGAGAATCTAATCTAGAGATTAGTTTTCGAAATTCGATTATTGAAAACTGTTAATAATTAAATTCAAATTAAGCCTAGTCCCTTTTGCTATTGAACAAAATAAGTTGGAATTTGTAGATAGCTCTTGAGTTTATCAATATAACTGCAAAAAACAATCATTTTATACAAGAGCTAGCTTTTGTCTAAATCATAGATTCAAATGTAGACATCACTTTTTAAAATATCCTTTTTTAAAACAATGAAAACTTTGGTTTTCTTTCATGTAATTATAAATATAATAATAATCATGATATTTCAAGAATCGAGATAAATGACTCTGATTTCGTAAATAACACAATCCTAGGTAGATTATCTTTATTTAAACTCAATGGCTAAGTCAATGTTTTAATGTCTAATTCAAATTTCACAAATAACTCAGCTAATTAAGGATCAATAGTTTAAGTATCAAATACAAACTATGGATGTTTGATTTTTTAGACTTGCAACTTCAATTTTAATTATGCTATTAATGGAGGAATTGCATATTTGGCCACGAAAGGTAGTATAAGATTTAATTTCTGCAATATTACAGATAATTTTGCAATGTCTGGTGGGATGATATATGCTTTTGATTCTGGAAAAATAAGTATTTAAAATACTAGTATGACATAAAACTTTGCTTTATAAAGCGATATTATCTACTTGACTAATCAAATAGAATCGACTGAGATATCAGGCAGTTTAATCTCTTTGAATGGTATCAATTAAAACTCCTTATAAAACCTTTCAACTTCGCTCAGTTTGTTACTCAACTTATAAAGCAAAGTACAGATAATAAATGAGATTAGTAACCTAAATTAATTAACTAATTCAGTTGATTAAATTAAATAGATTTTAATGACTCAGAATCTTCAAACCCTTGCTGCAATAACTTCTTACTCATTTTAAGTGATTAGAAGTAAAATAGTATTAAATAAAGGCACTATTATTGAAAATTAGCAAGCTTTAATGAGTATATAGATTGGTTCAAATGTGACTTTCAATGATGTAATAATGAGAAATTTAGAAAATCATAATTTCCCATTGATAAAAGCTAGTTAAGCGATCGTGATTTTCACCAATACTTAGATAAATGATATTTCTTAATCAGCAGGCTTTTTATTCAAATTTTTCAAGGTCACTAGCACCATATTTGAAAATACAGTTATTCATAATAGTAGTGGATCTATTTTAGACTCAAAAGATAGCCAGATTAGATTTCTTGGAATGAGCATATTCAATCATACTCACACAAATTAGTAGGAGAGTTTGATATAATTTGTAAAATGTGATGTTAGAATTTAAGGTTAAGACATCATCCAAATTTCCACTTATTAAAGTATATAGCCAATTTTCAAACTAATTTGGTCAACTGCTATGTTAAATAACTTTTATGCATCTAACTTTGAAAATAATCTTATCTATTTGTCAAATTCAGTTGTGAAAATGAATACTGCTTAAATATAAAATGCTCTATAAACTCCTTTAAGTGACTAACTTTAAGGAATGGCCATACATTCAAAATCCTCTAATTTGACGATTTAATTTGGAACTTTTAAGAATCTTACTTCAACTATAGCTGGAGCAATTTACTTGAATGGTGAAAATCAAAACAATTACAACAACTATTTTTAGATAAATAATTCAACCTTTACCCAAAATACAGCTCAAGAGTCTGGAGGTTCAATCTATGCATAAAATTAAGATTTATTGATCAGAGATAATTTATTTCAGTAGAACAAAGCAATTAATTAAAATGGCGGAGCAATATTCCTGTCATGTTCTTCAATCTTCTATAATTGCGATCACTCTATTTGGAGAAATACATTCAAAACTAATCAAGCCATGCTAGATGGAGGGGCAATATTCTTTGATTTAATGCAGCCAGAGATGCTTATGAATAATAATTACATAAATAATTCAGCTAGTTATGGGCCTAATTATGCGTCCTTTCCGTTTGAAGTTAAAATACTTAGTAAAGCAAAATACAACTCTAGCAGTCAATTATTCTAGGTAAGTAGCGGGTAAGAACTAGAAAACTACATTTATGCAGAGGTAGTTGATTAAAATGACTAGAGAGTAACTTAAGATAATGATACCTCTATATATCTTTATTCAAAGGATTAATTGGTAAAGTTATCGTAACAAATTCCCCATTAAGCTATGAAAGGTGTGATTGAATTTAAGAATGTATCAATTCTATCTACTATTGGCTATTAGTCTAAACTTCATTTCATCTCTAAAAACATTAAAGCTGAGAAATATAAAGCACTTAAAGTAACTAAGCTTTTTAAAGGTAACCTTTGTCCCCAATTTTAATTTTCTTTTAGAGGAGAGTTTTTAAATTATTTTTAAAAAATGCGAAATAGGTGAGATACTAAAGGATAATATCTGTGTGTCCTGCTCATGGGGTTTCTATTCATTTGATGAAAACGATAAATAATGTTACCCTTGCTTCAATCATGGAATATGCAAAGGTTTAAATTAAACTTATCTTAGAAAAGGATTTTGGAGAAGCTAAAATAGTACTTCCAAAATTTATCAATGCCCTAATCCTGATAGCTGCTTGTATGTATCATCAAAATATAAAATTCAAATAATTTTAGAGGTGGAATGAACTCGGATTGCTCTGATGGTTACTCCGGTAGACTCTGCCAAACATGCTCTATTAATAAAAATGGGACACTCTTTGTAAAAACATATGAAAACTACTGTACCGAATGTGATAATATCTCTACTATTGTTGCAAAAATGATTGGCATAGGATTTTTTGTCGCATTACTAGCTGGATACATCAATTAGTAAGATTTTATGAGAATTAATAATGATATAGTTGTCTTAACAACAATGCAGTTTAAAATTCTCCTCTGGTTGTGCTTTTAAGAATTCTTATTAATTACTTCTAGATGATATATTTGGTGGTTAAATTCGACATTACTTGGCCATAAGAAGTTTTGTAAACTCTAGAGATAATCTCTTTTTAACAAAATTCTAAACATTTTGCTTATTCATTAGATTGTATCTATGCTTATTTTGATAATCTTGGAATGCCAAGATTTTATTTCAGGACTATGATAATTGGGTTAGTTCCTTTTTTTTACTGGATTATCGGCATAATATTCTGGAGTGTTTTATATCTAAGATAAAAAATAATCAAAAGAAAAAGTATAGAATTTAAAGTAAATGTATTGAGAACTTTTTATGTTTTAAGCTTTATTTTCATGCCAATGATAGTGTATCAAGCAGTTAGATTGTTTATTTGTGAAGAGTTTAATGATGGGCTATTTCTAAGAGCAGATTATGAGCTAGAATGCTGGACTTCAGATCACTCATTTATTGTCTACTTTATCGGTTTGCCTATCATTACTTTTTGGTCATTCTTAGTTCCATTATATATCTCTGTACGGATTAAGTACGAAAATCAAAATATTTTGTTATTTGAAGAATCGTACAAATATAGTTTATACTATTTCGGCTTAACAGATTAAGCTAAATATTGGGAGATTATCTTTATTATGATTAGAAAAGTTCTAATGATATGTTGTACACTATTTGAATCTTCATTAACATAGCAGACATTGGTATGATTTGATTTACTACTTATAATTACTTATTAACCCTTTTTAGATACTATTTGGGATAATGATTCTAATTTTTCAACACTATATTGTATCAGTAATCAAACCTTATATAGATCCAAGATTTTAAGACTTAGAATAGAAATCAGTTTTCGCTAGTGTAATTCAATATTTATTATTCAATTCCTAATAGTTTTTGGTAATGTTCTGTGGTATGTTATTTGATAGGGTAGAAGTGCAAGGTAATTAAAAAGCAATATTTATACTTTACTTGACAATTACAGTTTACAATGTCTTTTTCCTTATAAATTGGGGTTAAAAATTCATTTCAATCATTATAAAGATACATATCAGAAAATTTAGAAAAATACCGATGCTTAAATTTTTAGATTCGTTTAATATTGTTGATTATGAGTAAGACCTTTAAGATTACAAAAAACTTTTATCTAATAATTATCAGAAGATATTAAATAGATAAATAAGCAATGTACATGAGAGTGTAATGATTGGCAAGAGAATTGTACCTAGAAAATCTTCTTCATTTTTATTTGTTGATCCAATTGAGGCAAAGGATAAGAATTTACCTTCTGCGAAGGATAAATTGAGAACCTCAGCAAGAACTCTATTTACTATGAATAATATTTCGAATACCTATTTTGAAAGTAGCTCTGATTAAGGGTAGTCTCCAAAAAAATCGTCATTTTCTACATTAAAGTCTAAAAGAAAAACTGTGTAAGTTGCCACAACCAATTTAAACAAACTCGATGCTTAGCTTAAGGATTCACCAACTTTCCTAACGAGAAAAAGGAAATCAATTGTATATGCCAACGATAATTATGTCAAATAAGCCAGTAAAAATTTTGTTAATGTGCTGCCAGGTAGAAGAATATCAAAAATGATCAGTGAGTAAGACATTAATGCCCTCGAATAGCAAAATTAGAATTTGAATTAATTATCACAGATGAACTTACTCAGTATCAGTAATACAGATACAATGCATTTTTAATCAGTAAATAATAGGGATTTAACTAACAACAATAATACTCAATAAAATCAAATAAATCATATGTCAAATATGTCAAATCTCTATTCTTAAAATGAGTTGAAAGTAGAAGATATGAGCAATAAAGGAGATTAAAGTGCTGATGGCTCAAGAAAGGGCTTAATGAAAAACTATGAATTTAAAGATTATTATAAAAAAGCAAATGCCCCTTGGAAAGCAAGAGGAAGTATATTAGAGGTTCCCAAAATCTAAGTGAGTCCTTTTATGGATGATGTATAAATCATAAAGTATGATTAAAATACTATAGAGGATAGAGTAAATAATAGAAAAAATAAGAAAATGAGCACTAAGACTGTGATTTCTTGATTTTCCTAAAATAAATCAGGAATACTTCAAAAAATTTATACAGAGATTTAATCTCTCAATGAAAAGATATTTAAATTATAAGATCATTGTTTATTTTGATATTTATACAACATTCCAAAAATTTCATGTTATTCAGGATGATGGGGTTTTGGGGTTTTGGGGTTTTGGGG